ACAAACAAACAAACAAACAAACTTGCATAAAAGAGAAAAAGGATGGGTGCAAATAAGAGATAATAGTGTTCGATAGAAAATAGTGTCACTAGCGCCCCCTTCATTTCCAGAATGCAATAGTCCCATTTCCATATAAGGTATGGGACTGACGGAAAGGTCCGTCACCGCCCCGTTCTGCATGCTGCAGAAAAGTGTACCTCCTCTCACCTGCTCCTCATGTTTCTCTCCCAGGTGTTTCCTATTTGTGCTCGTTAGTCTCACCTTTAAATTCTGTGTTTTGTCTCCACTTCCACGTCGGATCCCTGCCCTGCCCTGCCCTGCCCTGCCCAACATCATCTTCCAGTGCAGCATCCATGTCCTCACCCGGAGTACGTTGTTGTACTGTTCCATCATCATTTATCAGGTCACTATGCATATATCCACTATTTGGATGGAACTCTGATGTTGCAAATCTGACTATGGTGTGAGGCAGTAAGTGTGGACTAATGATGACTTCCCAGTCTTCATTGTAATCATCTTCATCATCATCATCATTGTCATCATCCATGCCTCTGGTTCCCTCTCTCCCTTTTGGGTCTGTCTGTCTGAGTGGGTGCTTTGACTCTGTTGTTGAAAGGAAATCACATGGAAGCAGCAGGTTTCTGTGTTTGACTGATTCACCCCTTCCCACTTTCCTGCAGGTCATGATGTTTCCTTTATCTTTAACAACATACACCTGATCTCCCATGCCCTCAGTTTTCCTTGTCCAGTTTACAACTCCACTCCATGCTGCTGAGAGGTGCAGAAGTCTCATTGACAGTTACAGGAATTGTTTGAGTGCAGTGTTTGCCTCAAAAGGTTGTGCAAGTTCCAATTCAGTTTATTTATATGGCGCCAAGTCACAACATATGTTGTCTCAGGGCACTGTACATAAAAAGAATAATACAACAAAATATTAAGTTAAGGGTACCATCATTTCTGCCCAAACATGGCTGAAAAGCAATGTTTCACTTTCGTTTGTTCATTTTTATAGAATTTTCATTTATTATTACTTTTGTCAGATTCAAGTTATTTCTGTGACCGTAGTGGGTTTTACTTTCATTAAACAAAGGGTACCAACAATTTTGTCCACTTATGTTATCAAACAATCATCCCATCAACAGGTTCTGCTTTATTGGAAACGCCATCTGTTACTCCAGTATGGAACAATGAGTATGTTTTGATAGAAAATCTAATTTTTTAGAGAATTTGTTTTCACAATATTTCTGGGCGAAATCACATTTCACAAATGATACTGGTGAGGTATTATTGTTCAATTAATGTAGCTTAAAATTCAGTTTTGTTTTGGATGTCAAGATTTACAAAAGCTGATAAAAGCTATACCAATGCCTCTTGTGGAGTATGTGTAGCCCAAGCATGGAGATATATAGAACAGTTGGAGTGAGCAGAAACCACGTGACCATGTGATCTACTGTAGAAGCTAAGCAGCAAAGCATAACGACCAAGAGTCTGTATTTACCATTACTGTATATGTTGGCCACATAGTGTAAAAGAAAGAACTGACGATGTAGAAATCAGAAAAATTATTAACATTTTAAAAATATTAGGCTTATTTGTCCCCTGATTTAGATATCATTTAAAGTGTAAAATAATATTTTATATTTGATTATTTTTAGGCTTCTGTTAGACAAAGCTGACCCGTTGAGGAGATGGTTAGCTAAAATTAGTTTCATCCTATAACCAGTTATGCAGAGAAATTTTTTAAGTGTTGACTGGTAAATATTTATTATTTACATTTTGTTTTAAACATAGAACGAATGTTAAAGATGATGCAGATATAATTTGTGAAAATACAAAATTGAATTAAACTTAACAAATAGACAACAGTCTAGGCAGATAGTCTAGGTTCTACGAGGCCAAGTTACTTTGTTTTGAAAAGTTAAAAACAGTTTGTCAAATATCACAACTCCAAGACTACACAAAATTAAAATTGACTATGTGGACATTGTTGACAAAAAATGTAATATGTTTTAAGTCAATATTTAATAAACACCAATTAGGCCTACACTAGAAAAACAAACAACACACTCTACCTACAAAACATTGACAAGTTTACAATTTCAAAAATAAGACTAAAATGCTTAAAATTTCCAATTACCCCTAAATATAAAGAACTACATTTTAAAATTTTGAACAATATTTATCCCTCAAACGATTTTATAAAAGATAGATTTAAATTTGATGTAGAAAATTGTGGGTTCTGTAAAACAAATGAAGAAACAAGCAAACATTTCTTTTTTGAGTGTGTTGAAGTTCAACAGTTATGGAGAAACAATTTTCTTTCTTACAAATCCATAGATGCAGATTTTTTTTTCTCTTTTCAGAATATTCAGTTTGGACTATTTCTAGATAGTGATAATGTGGAATTTAGTAAATAATCATTGTAACAAAAAATTATATACATAAATGTCGATTTGCAAAATGCACCCCCCCCCCCCCATTCTGTGCTCTTATGAATGAAACCTTCTTGTTTGAAAGGTGTCTGAGTAAGATGCATAAAGCAAAAGCTGAAAACTAGTACGAACGAATGAAGAAATTCTAGTTAACAACCCCTTAATTGTTTTTCCTTAGGCTTTGTTGAAAATATGAAAAAAAGTTCTTGTTTTTAGGAATTAGTGATTTTTATGATAATGTCTTTTGTTGTTGTTGTTGTTGTTGTTGTTGTTGTTGTTGTTGTTGTTGATGATGATGTCCTCTTTTGTTCAATAAAAAACGTTTATTTTGAAAGAAAAAACGTCTTTCGTCACTTCCTGCCGAATCCTCGTAAAAAAAACAGGTCTCAGCTGCAGCGGTTGCTAGCGCTACATCTTTTGTTAGGAAATTTCATAGACGTCAGAAGAAATAAATATGTCAGACACGGTGAGACAAATGTTTGAGAATAAATGTTATTATATTGTGAGAAAGATAGAAAAATATACCAACGGGTGTTTTGTGGCTTTATCGCTTTTGGTTTTATGCTAACATTAGCTAATGTAGCTTAAGGCCAAAACTAACAGCTTCTTTACCTGTTAGCAGTTAGCTTTACTTTTACGGTAGGTGAAGTTTAACAGTAACAGCGTCTTACAATATTAAGACACAAAATCGTTGAGTTGTGTAACACGCTTGAGCAAGTCGACATTGTTTACACCAAGGCCTTTCTGTGTGCGCGTGCGTTTTTAGCTTGTTTGTTTTTGTTTTTAATAGGAGACAAAACCATCCAGTCAAGAGGGGGGCGATAAGAAAGACGGAGAATATATAAAATTAAAAGTCATTGGGCAGGTAGGTTTTAAAGAATAACGTCTGTTCTTTTCAACAATAATTATTGTGATGTTTTACTTGTCGGTGTGAGGTTTAAATAAACTTGAGATGATAAATTGTCAGTAATAACTGAGTAATGTGTCTATTGCTTGGATAACATATTTAGAGTATGTTTTATGTGTGAAATATTTGTGTCTTTTGGTGAAATTATTTTAAAAAATTAGTCAAATGAATTGTGTGTGTGTGTGTGTGTGTGTGTGTGTGTGTGTGTGTGTGTG